AGCTTCAGTTCTACAAGTTCAGCCACCAATCAAAAGCAAATCAAGAAACACAGAAAACTCACCTGTCCTCATCTCAAACAGCTCCTACCCAGGGGCATCAAATATTTTGTTAATTAAGTTGAGCTCACAAAGATAACAATCAAACAACAAACAAAAAGACTAACAAACCAGCCTCTCTGTCATCTCCCTTCCAAGACAGAGTGGATCTCTACTGCGCATCTCCCAGAGATCTTCAAATTATCAGACCACGTCACCAAGAATTATTTGTTGATTTGTCTCTCTGTTTCTTCCAGTGTAAACTCTTAGTTCATCTGCTTTGAATTTAGCTATGTACATTTGGGCATTTAATAAACACATTTGGTTTGATTCTTTACATGTTCTTAACAGAGAGTTTATCAGTTATATTCTCACAAATATAGTTTCTTGACTACTATTTTTCTTTTGACATGTATAAAATATGTTCCATTAAGCACTTAGGAACTTTAAAAATATCCAAACATCTTAGAGCTGATATCTTTTTTGTCTTCACCCATAAGTTTATTTCTCTTTCCCAACTGGATGGGGAAATGAGCCCCACAAGTTGGAAGGTACTGAAAATATGACTAGGGAAGAGCTGCCTCCTCAAAGTAGAGTCAAATTTAATGAAGAAGATGGATGGAATCAATTTTGGGGGGGCCTTCATTTGCGATGTCCCATGACTCAAAATGAGAAGAAACGTTTGCAAACATCCATTATTAATCAGAATGTGGAATGTACCAACTATGAATCTAGGGAAATTGGAAGTTGTCAAAAATGAAATGGAATGCATAAAGATTGATATCGTAGGCATTACTGAGCTGAAATGGATTGTTATTGGCCATTTTGAATTGGACAATCATATGATCTACTATGACAGAAATGGCAAATTAAAGAGGAATGCCATTTCATTCATTGCCGATAAGAACATTTCAAGATCTATTTTAAAGTACAATAGTGTCAGTGACAGCATAATATCCATACGCCTGCAAGGAAGATCAGTTAATACAAGCATTATTCATACTGATGCCCTAACTGCTAAAGCCGAGGATGAAGAGATTGAAGATTTTTACCAACTTCTGCAATCTGTAATTGACCAAACATGCAATCAAGATGCATTGATAATTACTGGTGATTGGAATGTGCAAGTTGGAAACAAGGAAGAGGGTCAGTAGTCGGAAAATATGGCCTTGGTGACAGAAACAATGACATAGCTCTCATGACAGAATTTTGCAAGACTGAATACTTATTCATTACAATACCTTTTTCTCAACATCAAAAATGGTGATTATACCCGTGGACCTCCCCAGATGGAATGCACAGGAATCAAATTGACTACATCTGTGGAAAGAGATTGTCTTAGTTCTCTAGTTTTGCTTAGCAGAAATACCCAAGTGGATGGCTTTAACAAAGAGAAATTTATTCCCTCACAGTCTAGGAGGCTAGAAGTCTGAATTCAGGGTGCCAGCTCCAGGGGAAGGCCTTTGTCATCAATCTTCCCTGGTTGAGGAGCTTCTCAGCACAGGGACACCAGGTCCAAAGGACACACTGTTCCCCTTTCTCTTGTTTCTTGGTGGTGTGAGGTCTCCATGGCTCTCTGCTCACTTCTCTCTTTTATATTTCAAAAGAGATTGACTTAAGACAAAAACCTAATCATGTACATTGAGTCCTACCTCATTAAAATAATTGTCTCTAATCCTGCCTCATTAACATCATAGAGGCAGGATTTACAGTGCATAGAAAAATTGCTTCAGAAGATAAAATGGTGGAAAAATCACATAAAGCTGGAAATCATGGCCTAGCCAAGTTGAAACACATTTTTGGGGGACACAATTCAAACCATGCCAGAGATGATGGAGAAGCTCAATATAATGAGTCAGAGCAAGGCAAGGGGCTTACTGTGAAAGAGACCATCAATTGCTCATATGAAAGTTCAAGTTGAAGCTGAAGAAAATTAAAACAAGTCCATGACAGCCAAAATATGATCTTGAGTATATCCCACCTGAATTTAGAGACCATCTCAAGAATAGATTTGACCCACTGAACGCTAATAACCAAACACCACAGGAGTTGTGGAAGGACATCAAGGATTTCATACATGAAGAAAGCAAGAGGTCGTTAAAAAGACAGGAAAGAAAGAAAAGACCAAAATAGATGTCAGAAGAGACTCTGAAGCTTGCTCTTGAACATGGAGGAGCTAAAGTGAATGGAAGAAACGATGAAGTAAAAGAACTGAACAAAAGATTTCATAGGGTGGCTCGAGAAGACAAAGTAAAGTATTATAATAAAATGTGCAGAGACCTGGAGTTAGAAAACCAAAAGGAAGGAACATGCTTGGCATTTCTCAAGCTGAAAGATCTGAAGAAAGAAATTCAAGTCTCCAGTTGCAATACTGCAATATTAAACAGTGCAAAAAGCATCGAAAGAAGATGGAAAGAATACACAGAGTCACCGTACCAAAAAGAATTGGTTGATGTTCAACCATTTCAGGAGGTAGCATGTGATCAAGAACCAACAGTACAGAAGGAAGAAATCCAAGCTGCACTAAAGGCATCCGTGGAAAAAACAAAACAAAACAAAACAAAACCCATTGCCATCCAGTTGATTATGACTCATAGAGACCCACAGGACAGAGTAGGACTACCCCATAGGGTTTCTAAGTAGCGACTGGTGGATTTGAACTGCTGACCTTTTGGTTAGCAGTTGAGTTCTTGACCACTGTGCCACCAAGGCTCTGGTGAAAAACAAGGCTCCAGGAATTGACAGAATACCAATAGAGATGTTTCAACAAACGGATGGAATACTGGAGGCGCTCCCTCGTCTATGCCAAGAAATTTGGAAGACACCTACCTGGTCACCTAACTGGAAGAGATACATATTTGTATCCATTACAAAGAAAGGTGCCCCATCAGAATATGGAAATTATTGAACAATATCATTCATATCACATGCAAGTAAAATTTTACTGAAGATAATTAAAAAGTGGTTACAGCAGTCCCTCAACAGGGAACTGCCAGAAATTCAAACCGGATTCAAAAGAGTACATGGAACGAGGCGTATCATTACTGATGACAGATGGATCTTGGCTGAAAGCAAAGAATACCAGAGAGATGTTTACCTGTGTTTTATTAACTATTCAAAGGCATTTGACTGTGTGGACCATAGCAAATTATGGATAACATTGCGAAGAATGGGAATTCCAGAACCCTTAATTGTGCTCGTGAGGAACTGTACATAGAGCAAGAGGCAGTCATTCGAACAGAACAAGGGGATACCGTGTGGTTTAAAATCAGGAAAGGTGTGCCAGGGTTGTATCCTTTCACCATACTTATTCAATCTGTATGCTGAGCAAATAATCCGAGAAGCTGGACAATATGCAGAAGAACACAGCATCAGGATTGGAGGAAAAGTCATTAACAACCTACGATATGCAGATAATACACCCAAGTTTGCTGAAAGCAAAGAGGACTTGAAGCTCTTACTGATGAATATCAAAGACCACAGCCTTCAGTATGGATTGCCCTTCAACCTAAAGAAAATAAAAACCCTCACAACCGGACCAATAAGCAACATCTTGATAAATGGAGAAAATATCGCAGTTGTCAAGAATTTAATTTTACCTGGATCCACAATCACTACTCAAGGAAGCAGTAGTCAACAAATCAAATGATATATTGCATTGAGCAAATCTGCTGCAAAAGACCTCTTTAAAGTGTTAAAAAGCAAAGATGTCACTTTGAGAATTCAGGTGAACCTGACCCAAGTCATAGTATTCTCAATTACCTCATATGCAGGCAAAAGGTGGACAATGAATAAGGAAGACCAAAGAACAACTGATGCCTTTGAATTATGGTGTTGGTGAAGAATATTGAATATACCGTGGACTGCTTAAAGAACGAACAAATGTCTTGGAAGAAGTATAGCCAGAATGCTCCTTAGAAATGAGGATGGTGAGACTTTGTCTCACGTTCTTTGGACATGTTATTAGGAGGGACCAGTCCCTTGAGAAGGAACTTATGTTTGGTAAAGTAGAGTGTCAGGGAAAATTGAATAAGAAATTGATTCAGAAATCATTCAAGCCCTCCGCCTATGAATGCTGAGTCCAGCTGAAGAGGTGCAAATCTGCATGACCCGGAGGCTCATTCCCTCCTCTCTTTTTGGTAGCTTAGCTAAGATTTGACTCTAGTGAGTCTTCAGAGAAACAGCTAAGACTGATCTCAGCTTTCCTGGCAAGCAAAGCTGTCCCTAAGTGTCTGTTGGCTGTCAATATACTCCCTGACTTGGTTCCTGGGCCCCAAGTTCCTTAATATTTTTTTTCACTTAGAGAAACTACATTTTTCCGAGTTCCTCTGAGGCTAACCTTCTGCTTTGTAACAGGACGAGGTGCAGGGCTTGCTCTCTCTTGTCTCAGAGTACTCTCTGTGTGTGTTCAGTCTCCTGGCTAAGGCAGCCCTTCTCAGTTGGAACCTTAGCCATCATACCTACAAAACATCTGTGCCAGGCCACTGTGGTGGAATAATCAGTGTTCTTCAAGGACTACGTCCGTCCTCTCTGTAACTTCTCATTGAAAGTCTTTCTCCAATAAACCTTATGTTATCACTGCACCACGTGGTGTTGGTTATTTGTGTCCATGACCCCACCGCAGGACACTAATAATATGACCCAAACACAGTTTCAAACAGTGATGTTTGTGGTTGGTGATATTGTTGTTAATTTCTGTGGCTGATGTTAGTTCTAGTTTTAACTCTGACTCCTGCTGACCAGAAAAGGGAAGCAATAAGGGAAGAAGTTTGTTCTCTCTTGCAACATTTGCAACAGTTTATCTGCTCTCTTCTCTGAGGCTGCAGGGGGATTACATCTCATTTGCAGACAAGTCCGTGATTCACACAATGGATTTATAAATGGGAATTTAAGGATTTAGATTTAAGATACCAGATCCTGTTTAACATTCAGCTCTGTTAGTTCACCTTTGCCTTTTATAATTATTTTTTTTTACAGTCTGTGGTGCTTTCTTTGCATATTCACCAAAGTCTGAAGAAGTTACTTATGCAGATCTAAACTTCCAGTACTCCAGTAAGACAGAAAATATTCAGAAGTTTGATAATCTGGAGAAAAAAGGTAAGCTTTTGTGCTATGAATGTGGTATGAAGTGGTAGAAGTGCTTATAGCTCTGCATCTTAGGTATTAGTGAATTGACAATGATGTTGGTATTCTTTCAGCTTGAACTGTTAATTAAGACTCCCATTTTTACAGAAGTTTCCAGATGGATCCACACAGAATAATTATAAAAGCTCTTTAAAAAGCACTGATTAGTGCCTTAGACACTATCAGTCTATTACATTTTTCCTTTTTTTTAATGTTGGTAAAAAACAATGAATAGAGGAGGAGGGAGTGACAGAAAAATTCTCGCATTTTATTTAAGATTTTTTCAACAACATGTGACATCTTTGAAACTCTAACTTGACTATGAACTAGAAATTTTATTTCATAAATTGTTAGACCTTAGATCCATTTATATTCACCATGCTAAATCTGGAGGAAGAATAACTGAATAATTCTGGTGATTTTCCTTTTATACAGATTTTCTTTTTTGAAAAGAAGAGTATAAGGATTTTGTAGTATTTTCTGTCTTTCTTTTCTTGCTTGTATTTCTCCTTTATTTTATAGGATATCAGGATGGACTTACTGATGGGCACTACCAACAATTAGAGCTTTGCCGACATAATGACTTCAAACATCATATTCTATCCCTTCTTATCTCTGTTCCTTCTAATACTCTGTGTTATAAATTTTCAAATCAGAAATTCTTTGACTCCCTGGAAATGTGAAGTCAAGTCATCTTTATTTCTTCAATTATTTTTAATTTTCCCTTTATCCAGCTTAAAGTCTATGTTATATAGTAAAAAGTGTACATCATCTGTCTTAGTCATCTAGTGCTGCTCTAACAGAAAAACCACAAGTGGATGGTTTTAACAAAGATAAATTTATTCTCTCATGGTCCAGTAGGCTACAAGACCAGATTCAGGGCATCAGCTCCAGGAGAAGGCTTTCTCTCTCTGTTGGCTCTGGAGGAAGGTCTTTGTGATGCATCAGTCTTCCCTTGGTCTGGGAGCATCTCAGCGCAGGAATCTCAGGTCCAAAGGACACACTCCGCTCCCAGCACTGCTTTCTTGGTGGTATGAGGTTCCCATGTGTCTCTGCTCGCTTCTCTCTTTTCTATCTCAAAAGAGATTGCATTAAGACACTAACTAATCTTGTAAACCTCATCAGTATAACCTCATCACAGTGATAGAATTTACAATACATAAGGAGATCACATATCACCTCATCATAGTGATAGAGTTCACAACACGTAAGGACATCACATCAGATTACACGATTATATACAATACTGGGAATCATGACCCAGCCAAGCTGACAGATATTTTTAGGGGACACAACTCAATCTATGACATCATGTAATATCCACCGTTACATTCTCACCCACCCTTTCCACTGTATTTTGTTTTCTTTTCTTTTTTCTTAAATTTTTTTATTGTACTTTAGATGAAGATTTACATATCAAATAGTTTCTCTTTAAATAGTTACATAACAAACAGTTTCTCGTTAAACAACCCCATGACACGTCAACACTGTCCCTTCTCAACCTTGGGTTCCTTATTACCAGCTTTCCTGTTCCCTCCTGCCTTCTAGTTCTTGTCCCTGGACTGTTGTGCCCCATTAGTCTTGTTCTGTTTTATGGGGCTGTCTAATCTTTGGCTGAACGGTGAACCTCAGGAGTGAATTCATTACTAAGCTAAAAGGGTATCTGGGGGCCGTACTCTCGGGGTTTCTCCAGTCTCTGTCAGGCCAGTAAGTCTGGTCTTTTTTTGTAAGTAAGAATTTTGTTCTACATTTTTCTCCAGCTCTGTCCAGGACCCACTATTGTGATCTCTGTCAGAGCAGTCAGTGGTGGTAGTCGGGCGCCATCTAATTGTACTGGACTCAGTCTGGTGGAGGCCGTGGTAGTTGTGGTCCATTAGTCCTTTGGACTAATCTTTCCCTTGTATCTTGTTTTCTTCATTCTCTCTTGCTACCGAAGGGGTGAGACCAGTGGAGTATCTTAGATGGCTGCTCACAGGCTTTTAAGACCCCAGACGCTACTCACCAAGGTAGAATGTAGAATATTTTCTTTACAAACTGTGTTATGCCAATTGAGCTAGATGTTCCCAAGACATGGTCCCCACAACACTCTGCCAAGCAATTCAGTCCCCCAGGGAGATTGGATGTGTCTATAGAGCTTCCATAACTTTTCCTTGTACAAGTTATGCTGGCTTCCCAGTACTGTGTACTGTCTTACCCTTCACCAAAGTTACCACTTATCTACTGTCTATTTAGTGTTCCTCCCTGCCCCCAACCCTCCCATCCTTGTAACCAACAAAGATTGTTTCTTTTTGTGTGTAAACTTTTTCATGATTTTTACACTAGAGGTCTCATACAATATTTGTTCTTTTGTGATTGACTTATTTCACTCAGCATAATGTCCTCCAGTTTCATCCATGTTATGAGATGCCTCACAGATTCATCATTGTTCTTTATCATTGCATAATACTCCATTGTGTGTATGTACCATAGTTTGTTTATCCACTCATCTGTTGATGGGCATCTAGGTTGTTTCCATCTTTTTGCTATTGTGAACAATGCTGCAATGAACATGGGTGTGCATATGTCTACTGAAGTGACGGCTCTTGTTTCTGTAGGATATATTCCTAGGAGTGGGATTGCTGGATCGTATGGTAATTATATTTCTAGCTTTCTAAGGAAGCACTGTATCATTTTTCCAAAATAGTTGTAACATTTTGCATTCCCACCGGCAGTGCATAAGAGTTCCGATCTCCCCGAAGCCTCTCCAACATTTGTTATTTCCAGTGTTTTTATTCTTGCCAGTAATGCCAGGGTGAGATGGTATCTCATTGTGGTTTTAATTTGCATTTTTCTAATGGCTAGTGATCGCAAGCATTTCCTTATGTGTCTATTGGCCCCTCCAATGTCTTCTTTGGTGAAGGGTCTGTTCATTTCCTTTGCCTGTTTTTTAATTGAATTATTTGTCTTTCTGTTGTAGAGGTGTTGGATTTTCCTATAGATTTTAGAGATTAGACCTTTGTCTGACTTGTAATGTCCAAAATTTTTTCCCAATCTATAGGTTCTCTTTATACTCTTTTGGTGGTCTTTTGATAAGCATAGGTGTTTAATTTTTAGAAGATCCCAGTTATCTAGCTTATTTTCTAGAGTTTGGGTGTTGTTGGTTATGGTTTGTGTCCTGTTAATGCCATATATTAGAGCCTCTAGCATTGATCCTATTTTTTCTTCTATGAACTTTATAGTTTTTGGCTTTATATTTAGGTCTTTGATCCATTTAGAATTAGTTTTTGTATATGGTGTGAGGTGTGGGTCCTGTTTCATTTTTTTACAGATGGACATCTGGTTTTGCCAGCACCATTTGTTAAAAAGATTGTCTTTTCCCCATTCGACGGACTTTGGGCCCTTGTTAAAGATCAGGTGACCGTAGGTGGATGGATTTGCATCTTGATTCTCAATTCTGTTCCACTGGTCAATGTATCTGTCGTTGTACCAGTACCAGGCTGTTTTGACTACCAT